CTCCTTTTTCTCGTTACGCCCCATACTTATCATCGAACTAGTAGTTTTGTTCGTTGGTTGACAGAGAAAGCTCCTTCTTTTAAAAAACCAAAACCTGCCCCATAGCTATACTGATATTATTATTATACTCTTCCTTGCTTCTTCCCATGGAGAACAAGAACAACAACAAAGCCATGTCGGAGGGTCCTCTTCATCCACGAATTTTGATCAGCTTTTTGGTCCCAAGGACCCCTCATCTACCTTCTCATCCTCCTCCAGCATCTTCGGCTCCATTTTTCCTCCTCCCTCATCTGCTGTATGCATCCTTTTGCTCAGTTCAGTTTAGAGCTTTTCTGATTATTGTCAAAGCATGTACATAGTACTAGTGGTTGGTTAATGGGTCTAATATGATTCAGTCAAAAACTGTTCTTTTACCCCTAGCTAGTTTTACGGTTTTACCAAGGTCAATGGACATGGCTTCTCCTTTACGGTGACATTATACTTTTTCTGCATAATACACCATAAAGATGATGCTTCTCCAAGTCGTCATATATATTCAGCTACTACATTTTGGTGCTAATCATCTCGATTCCATACTCTATAGTCGTCGAAGTTAGTATAGCTAGCATGCAGCATGCCACTTTTTCGCCACCTTGATGCGAATTATTGACAGCATAGTTCCTTTTAGGACACTTTCTGATTTTATCCATGAGGTATTTGCGTATACATATATAGTCATACACTGAATCTGACACTCTTTTCCACTCAGGTAGGAGGGAGTGACTCGAGAAAGCAAGATCTGGGAAGCAAAAATTATGGAGCAGTAGGTTCGTCCTGAATTATCCTCTAACACCTTTTTATTCCTTTTACGACAAAGACCCATCTGGGTAATTTATAGTAATTAGTTCAGTATGTCTACTGCAATTCATATTGCTATACCTTGTTCAGTCCATCCACACTGTTTGGTCTCAAATGCTGTGTACATAACATAGGGAAGCATATTTATGGGGTTTAGTCTAAAATGTCTGAATTTATTTGGAAATGATCTCATCAGTTGGATTCGTGTCAGGTGGCAAAGGTGAAAGCAGTGGTGGCGTATCTGGCAAGAATTATCAGAATGAGAGTACAATGGAGCCCAGCAACTACTACACCTCATCCATCTACTATGGTGGTCAAGAAAATTATTTCCCAAAATCCAGGACCACTGATTCCCACCATAATGTTGGTTTCTCTCTAATTGTTCTTCTATATATGGTCTCTACATGATAATGTTGACATATAAGGGTATATAAAAATCTATTTTAAAGAAAATCCAATTAATTCACATGGGATTGCTAAGCTATGTAAAAATTCAAATGTGTTAATGCATGTAACTTATAAATAACTAGCTGGTTCTATATGAAGATGATGTAACGCTAATTTCGTTGTTTCAAAGTAAGTCATAAAAGTCAAACACCTTTTTAAGTTTTTATTGTATTTTCCATCAGCATGTGCATCAGCATCCCTAAAATATTATAATAACTTGAAAGTCCACAAATGCAATTATGCCCATATAATTTATTGCATTGACAATATTTTGATTAACCAACCAGATGTAACATTTTGATTTGAAATTTAAATTTAAATTGGCAGGTTAAGAAAGATTCCGATAACGATGATCCCAATGGGAACGATCCAAACAGCGCTTCAAGAGGAAATTGGTGGCAAGGTACAGTAGATCAAGCGATGATCAAAAGCTTTGAAAGAATCTAGAAAGCAAAAGACAAGTATTATTCACTTTCCCGTGCTTTTGCAGGTTCCCTTTATTATTAGCTTAACCCTATATATTACAAGAAAAACCCACCGTCCTGACCAGGTATGCCAACTTCGATTTGCGATTAGCTTCTTGCCATATGAATTTTAACATTTGCCAAATATTTTTTTTCTTTTTTTTCCCAGGATAATGTTGGTAGGGTTATGCAAATAAAACATAGTGCAGCGTGCTACGCAGAACTTTGTCGATACCAAGTACTGTTTTGGAGGTGGGTCCTTAATAGCTACTTTAGGTGGTAATCCACTGATCCAACAGCAGTCAACAGACCTTGATACCATGTTAATAATACATAGTATTCTAGTTTTCTGTCTTTTTCCGGGAAAAAGGTTTCATGTGGGTATAACTAATCTTAACCTGTAGACTTAAAACGCTGTATGTGTACTGCATATACTATGTAGTCCTTTAGAGCTAAGGACATAGAAATTGTAGTAGCTCACTATGGCTAATTTCAAGATTCCCTGTTTTGTGTGTACATACGTGCCTCCCTATATTACATGTTCAGCTGTACTCCAATTATGGAAACAAAACGAATGGCTTCTCAGTTGTTAACTTAGTATATAATGGAGAGATGCATATATTCTCAATGTGCATATATTTATATAATATAAGATTTATAAATCATAAATAGTGTGATTCTCAGACTCTATGCAAATCAAGGATTCATAATCTAACTTGAAATAAAGATTGAAGGGATGAAGACAAATATCTATATGTAAAGATTTGAAGGGGAGAAGACAAAAGTGTATGTAGACACATGCTATGTGGTAGTGCATGTAACTGTCAGTGTGTGGAGGGTAGTGGATGGTAGGGCACAAGGATGAGGCGGAAATGTGTTGAAGTGTACGGGTGAGTGGCTGGGGGAATTACCACTGAATTAGTGTTAAGCAAATTGACAAGTACAAGAGAAAAGAATATGGTAGAATACAAGGACGTTGCGTCTCACTGTTTTGAGATTTGGCCTCTAGTGCATTGGCATTATCATCATCGTTTCGGCCATATGGACCCCCACCCAGAAAAAAAAAAAAGGCATTATTGTAACATCCAGCGATTAATGCCTCTTAAACAAACTAATTAAACTTTTCGCATACTTTCCCAGCTTATTTGCTGTCTCTGGTATCTATCCTTCTCAATTTCAAGTTTAAAAAGCATGCGCTTTCCTGAAGTTTCTGTTTTTTACCCCTTAACTTTATAAAGTAGCATTTGATCTTTATGAACTTTCAATGCTATGCACATGGAGTCCTAAAATTAACCCAAAATACATGTTAAATTTTGTAATACCGCGGACTTCCGATATTATATTTAGACCTCGCCCATAGGCTCCATTGTTGTAATAGAGATATCGATTCAAACAGTTTATGGGCATAAACTAAATGACTCACTTAAAGAAGGATATATTCTTAAATTGTACCTGATTGAGAACTTCAATCGGTACCCAATTTTGCCCATTTCTTCTGCCAATCTTTGATCTCTGCTTACTTCCTTGGTTTTGTTTATTTCATCTGCCAGTTGTCCCTCAATTTCTTTGTTCACCAACATCTTGCCAGAGAGGCGCTAATAATCCGCTTTGATGGACAGAAAAGTTGAAAGAAAACAAATAAAAAGAAAAGAAAAGAAAATGAAGAGAGAGAAAAAATTTAAATATCACTTCTTAAGTTTGGACTTTGGATGTACAGAAGAAAATAAAAAGGAAAAAAAATATCACAATTACCATAATACCTTTTATCTTAAATTATATTATGGCTTATATAATTATCTCCATCAAAATAAATTGAAGGTAAAAATAATATTAATATTAACATTAAAATTCTTATTCTGTCATACTATGGACTACGGAGCTCAACTCACAGGGAAATGCTTTTTTTTTTTTTTGTTGCCCACCCAGTTCACGGAGTTTTGCTCTAACTACATCTGGATCCGACCCGCGTCGCGCACCTGGCTGTGGTGGGTGAGTCTCCTAATAAGGATTTCTGCATACACTGAGACTCGAACTCGAGACCTCGCTTAAGCAGTACCAAGCCGCTTATCACTTGGACCAACTCCTGTTGGTAACACCCAGGGAAATGCTAAAACCACAGGGTGCGATGCTGTGACCTGTGGGTTTGTGGAGCCATTTGGGGCCTCCAGTGAAGCTGTGTGGGAATTTTTTTCCCAATTTTTTTTGGGGGGGGGGTTGTTTTGGTCCTGTTGGGGAGACAAACCTCCTATTTTCGTGTAACATGCTGCGAATTCTTACTTTTTATGTGCTTGGCAGAAAAAAAACATTTAGAAGGTTCATTTTAATAGGTCATGAGGAGCCATTAGTCAATGCTCAAAGAAGTTATACATAGTGATGAAATCTCATAATTCTCAATTTATTAGAATTATAATTGACCAATTCTTAAGTTTCTAATGAAGGACTAGTCAACCAGCATCAGTCAATCCTCCCTCCCGTCTTATAGTACAGTGAACATAAGTTAAAACATAGTTTTTCACAGCTTTTGAACTATAGTCAACATATATATGCTACACTAGATATAACTTGTACACGACAAGTGAACATAATCGGAAATGCTCTTATAAACATTAATCAAAGATTAAATTAATTGAAGTGACATGGTCATATGGAGGAAACTACCAAGGGTCTCTTCTGCCCATTTACAAGGAAATCTTCATTCTTATGATCTCCCTTGTGATGTTCATATTTTTTCCCCTCTTCCCCACCTGTTGGTTGCATTCATTTGCCCCATAAAAATCGTCTAGGTGCATCTGGTCGAATAGCCAGTGATTGTACCCTGCCTCTCTAGGCATCTTGTTTCACAAAAGAAAAACAATCATAGACGAGGCACTAAGCCCTGTAGAAAAGTTATAAAATCTTTCTTTGAAAAAATGCCAGTAAACCTAAGAAATGAAAAGCAAGCTGATTTTTTAGAATCTAAATGCGCCAAAAGTGAACTAGATTGAACAAATTTTAAACTCTAGCTTTTATGTTTGATGAAACGTAGGAGACAACAACTAATATTGCTCCCAGCAACTAGGTGCATATCAAACAAATCCGTCCGCAGCAGTCATCACAAAATTTCAGTATTCTCCAAGCCATAGGAAGACTTGTACGCATCATTCCTACACAAACATAGCATCTCTACAAGGAAACTAGCTTAAACCTTCCTACCTATGTCACCATCCAAAATTGCATGCCTAGTTAAAACAATCTCTTTAACCAGATTTCTGTATGTGAATGGTCTAACAGCTGCTCGCAAAAACAACTCTGGAGGAAGTTTGCTCTTCTTAACCTTTTTCCTCCATGGACCAATCCCAGCATATTTCCACTCATCTGGACTAACCTTCGCCCGCTTGCCTCTCAAGGCAGTTTCATCTCCATCCAATGAATGCTTCTGTTCTTCTCCCTGACCCTCTACTGTCATTGAGTGTTTACTGTATAACTTTGAGGTGAACTCTACACTCTCCTTTGCTAGCCTTTCCATTGCCTCTCCACTACTAAGGGCTTTTCGAAGCTTCTCTTCCCAGCTCACACCATCATCTTCTGTAGATGTATCTTCCTCACCGTCTCCAATATCTTCCATGTCCATAGCTAGATCTTGGCCATCATCGCCACCATCACCATAATCCTCCTCCTCATCATCATCATCCTCATCATCATCCTCAGCAATGCCTTCACCATCAACGCCACCTTCATCATCCTCAATCCAATCTAAGATCTCAGTTTCACCAGAATCATCAACACTCGCATCATCACTGTCATCATCAGGAGCATCGCAGCCCAGCTCCATCTCTTCCAACTTAGCTTTCCACTCCTTTGTATATGGATGTAAAAGCGGAACTGGATGATTCTTCAACAAAAATTCTAGACATTTTGACTTTTTCTCGTCATTCAATTTCTGATACGCATTGACCACATCATCAACAAATGCTTTTTGGTTCACCTTTACAATTTTACACAACCCACCAAAATAAGTACACAATTCAACAGTCCCATCATCATTTTCTAGCTCAAAAAGATAATCACGTTCTGTACTGGGATCGAGAAATGGAATAAGTGCATTAAAAAAGTTATCCTGTGGCTCAAACCTACATTGATACACTGGCCGCTTTACATATATTATATCAGGTCTCATCCATGCTGCACACTGTGTTATCAAAGACCTTGCCTTATTTCCAAGTCTACCCATCAAACTCCACTTATCCAACCTCTGCTTACCAGCTTCAAGGACTACTTCACTAACCAACGTCCACTGCTGCCAGGGTAACTCAGAAAGTCTCCACTTTGGGTGCCTCACGAATACCCAAAAGTACCTCAATCCTTTACTTTTGTCCATCTGCTTCACTCTTTTCCCAAATTCAGAAGCCATTTCAAATTGCTCGATTTTCTCCCATTCCTCATGATCCTTAACTTCATTTATTATTGTCACACGCTCATCAGTAAATCTACCACGAACTGGGTCACCTAGGACAATTCCTCGCCATGAGTAAGGTCCAAATTGGCCATATTTATACCAATCATTTGGGTGACGCAAATTTGGATCATCCTTCTCCATAAATCTGACAAACCGATCATACCCAAGACCAATTTGTTGAAGCTCATCCTCAGAGAAGTTATCAGGATAGTTCCCATGTGGATTTCTCAAGCGATAGAAAAAGGACTCAGCATATTTCTTAGCTCTCTGCCTAGGCTTGCGCCTCAACTGACGGAGGAAATCAGCCTTGCCCTCTGTGCGCCCAGTTGAGGAACCACCAGACTTCTTCTTCCGACCTGCAAAGGACCGAACGTCTCGCTCGCATGCATTATTTCGAGCAGTATATACAGGATTTTGGCTGACAATCGAGGATATAGTTGATTTAGGGTTTTGAGAAAATGAGACAACTACAAAATGTTTTGGTGTTTGGAATTTTAGGCTTGGGGCCTTGCAGAAAGGGTTTGAGAATGGCCTCAGAAAGGAATGTTGGAGGCTAGCCAAGGATGGGATAAGGGGTCTAGGTAAAAGCTCACATCTGATATGGCTGAGATCCATCTTAAAAAGCAATCCCCAGCATCAGCTCTCAAGCTAAACAACCTTCAAAACTATAATGTCAAACATGATTTTAGAACAACATTTCAATCTAAAAACAAGATGCGTCAAATTTTCTGATTAAAAACCAATTAAAGAACAAAAAGATGATCTGGTTTCATGTTAGGGAAGGCAATGGACCAAATTAAAGCCACATTTTCACCACCCACCCCTGCTACGTTCCCCTATAGATTGCCCCACTCCTGTAGGTTTTTCTCATCTTCCCCATGCTCAAACCTGCAGGGATTGTTCTGGCCACACCCACCCCCTCCAAAATTAGAAAATGGCCTATAATTCTTAATAGAGAAAAGTTTTTAAAAAAAATAGAAAAACTCATCTTTGTAACCGCTAGAAAGAGTTTTGTACGCACATTGACTAGCTCTGAGAAATAGAATCATTGAATGGCATATGGAATATGGATACAAAAGAAAGAAGTAATCCTTTGAGCATGAAACCAAATTACACTGACAAATGTACGAATTATCACAACGATTCTAGCCTTTACAATTTTACAACATGACCAGCTAACTTTTTTTTTTTGGGGGGGGGGGGTCCAAAGTCAGAATGCATTACTTCAAGATCACAATAGATTGTTTCTTTTCACCTTGTAGGCTGGGCACGCATTATCCATGGAGAATAATTTTATACATTCAAAGCGCAGCTCCATACATATTTCCAGTATTTACTACGCTTATTCTTGTGAATAGCAGAAGCTAAGCTAGCTCCAAAATTCAGTCAGTTTAGCAGAAACAATTGAAGGAACCAGAGACAAGATGCATAAAAATATATTGATAAACAAAAACGGAAAATGCAGCTTACAACACATTCATGGTACCAACAAAGTTCCTGTTTGCAAGCTCGAAAACGGACAGCATAGACAAACCAACCTTCTCAAAGAGAAGCAAGAAATGGACTTCGCAACAAGAAATGAAAAATGGGGTATTTTAAAGAGCAGCAATTTTATTAGCGAAAGTGTGTAACCATTTTTTTGAATGACAGTTGATGATGTCTCTTCGACGGGGGAGGGGAATAGAGCAGCACATTAAAAAGGGGGGGGGGGGGGGGACACACACACACACACACACACAACAATCAGTAAGAAAGATGAGTGGAAGAGACGAAAAATAAACGGACCTCGCTAGGCGACGGCATAGATGGCGGGATCGGAAGACGAGTTCAGAAAGCAAGCCGTTGATGAAACAAGGGAGGAAAGAAACGAACGTCGATGGGCTATTCTCGCAAAAAGTACGAAACTGGTTTAAAACGAGGGAAGAAGGAGCTAGGTTTTAAGCGAGGAAGGAAAGAAACCAAGGGCTTTTCATGAAGGCGCAGGGGAAGAGGATGGATAGAGTTCCCCGGAGGATGGAGGCAATGAACTCACAGTAAGATAAATCAGTTTTAACGAAACTTAACTATTGAAATGAAGGCAAAATTTTGCCAGATATTTATCCGCAAGTTGTTTTTGGCCAAGAAGAAAAAATTCTTGTCAGGCCATCATTCATCAAAATTTTCATAAACAAACGAGTTCCACATTTTTCATGCAATCAATCTCATCACTCTTTTATTATATTTATTTATATTTGGTAAGAAAATAATCCCTCAATTAAAATTTTTAAATTTTTTAATACAAAATAATTTTATCAAACTAAGTGAAAAAATATTATATATAAAAGATCGGTCCATTACTAAAACCAAAAAAAAAAATTACAAAAGAAACAGAAAAAACAAACAAAGCGGTAAGCAAAACACTTTATGTTCACAATTATTTTACGGTTTAAACCCGAAAGAAAAAAAATATTATCCTTACTTTAGAAAGGATTAACCGGTGCCGCCAGATACCAAATTGTCATTGCACCCAAAGAATTGTCCTCTTTAAATTTTTAATTCTTGGCATATTAAAAGTTTTGATTGCTAAAACTTCAGTTACATAATTGAAACTTGTTACTCGTCTGAGACTAAATTATATCCCGCGTGGTTAATTACTCGGTACAAATGTTAATCTTCACTAAACTCTAAATATTTTGCTGGCAAAAAATCAAACCCTAAATATTCTGCTTCTTACTCCATGATGTGCGTTATATGATCTGCTCTTTCAACAGTACACTAAAGACATAAAACTGAGACATCTTATCTTATCTTACCATCAAATAAACGCAGACCCTAGCAGTTCATTGGTAAGCCTAATCCTTTTCTGTTTGTACTCAGTGTAATACTCACAAAAAAGGTTTGGGGTGTCAAATTGACATCTTCCTTGGAAGGGGATTAAACTGAGTTTGAATGAAGGAGTACCTGGATGGATACGAAGCTATAGTTTTAAAAGTGATTTTCCAACATATAAAATAAAAGTAATTTTACAGAAAAATACTTTTTAAAAGCACTTTATGGTTTTCCAAACACCCTTTAGTTCCATTTTCCTTATGGGCTAAAAGAAAATTTTTCCATTCTTCTCGCTGAAATAATGAAAGCAAATCATTTTCTGTAGAGACAAAATAATGAAGCTTATCCAATATATATGGCTTAAGCTACTTTATTTAAACATGACATAGGACTCCTCCAATATAAAGTGAATTATAATTCACATTCTTCAAGAAATCCGCACCACATATTTTGACATGTTCACAAACATTATTACCCCTTCAAGGCACTTCGTAATCTGCAAAACAAAGAAGAGAAGGAAAATTCAATGATCAGTATTGCCATATATTACTGAGAGGTGGTTTGATATTTCATACAGAAATGAATAAATTGCAATGAAGCATCGCAGACCTCCACACTTATAACCCACAGGACGATCAGCAATACTGCAACGTTTTGGAATTGTGACTGCGATTTCTGGCTTGACCCCAACAATTTTGGCTGTGCTAGAAAGCACAACAGCACAAAGGCAAGCAATTTTCTGGCCTAGTCTCTTTATTTGATTGCAGCACCTCTCAGAAACTGGAGCATTTTCATCCATTGCTGCTGTAACGCAAGGAGCCAGCTTCCAGGCCTCTCTCTCAGGGGAAGATATTCCGCATACACCAGCCCCATAAACTTCACTATGGTTTATGAGGCCAAGAATCACAAGTACTAAAAAAAGAATGTTATTCATTGGAGCTTGAGTTTCCTTAATCCCGCTCATAAAACTTCACTTGACAGCATTTTATAGTCCATAGGATAATAGAAAGGTGCCAACATGTGATGTCTACAATTCTTGGCGGAGCTACCACTAGGGGAAGTGCTCTAATTTATTCCATTACCTACTTCTCCATTAACAGGTTAAGCTTTATCTTGCTATGTTCAGCCAATGATAGCATGCAAAGTTTCCACTAGGATTTTGCCCTTAAGGAAGTGTCAAACAACTACTTTTTATAAGAAGTCAACAGCATATATAAAATTCCATGTATAAGCCACCTCAACCTCTCTGCTTTAAGCCCTCCTATAATCTAAAAAGAATATGCCGCACTGAGCCAGTTTCCGGGTGAGAGTTCTCTTTTTGGCTTGTCAAAGAACTATCATATTAACAAGGTGCAATAAACCAAAGTATTATATCAATTTACCCAAGGACGGTCAGATTCTATTGCTTTCATCTATAAGAAAATGCCTATGATTCCTAGATCTGAACTCGAGGAGCTAAACAAGCCTAAACTCAAGCCATCTAGAAGATACATGGTTTATACACACACACAAATTTTAACAAGTTATATTACTCATAAGCCATGATCAATACAACTCATTTGTCAGACTTCATACAAAGCATGGAACCCACACTTGTTATAAGAGAAACAAAATAAATTACTGGTACTCAGGATGGTAATGAAGACATAAGAGAGTGGATTTTGCTTCCATCACATTTCTAGACAGAAGTACTCAATGGTCACTAATAGCTCTACGAAAACTTATCATAACTAAAGACTGTCTCAAGTCCAAACAGAAGATAATATTTTTGCAATGCATGCTGATATCAAAAGTAGTACGCAAAATAAGATAGTGGAACTCACCTGACAAGAGGTAATACAAAGACAAACAGAGAACAACAAATTTAAAATCCACCATACAGAAAAAACTGGAGTTGTCCAAGACAAAGGAAGCTGGGAGGATTTTGTACTAAACTTTATCACAAGTTGTAAACCAAAGACTGTCCAAACTTTCAGCAGATCATATTTCGGGGCAAAGGCAAACTGTTAAGTGATTAATTAAATTTGACAAAACAGAACTAGGAAACACATTTCAAATCCACTGTATGGATAAAGAGTTGAAAGACTTTTTCTGCTATATAAGAGTTTCAGAATGATGATAAGAGGACTAAAAATCCACATGATTATCTCATTTATAAGAAGGGGAAAAGAAGAGTAATCAGTCACAAATAGCAATTATGTCCATTTGTAATGCTTCACAAATCATGTGAATCAAGGTTATAGGCATAACAGGGGACAAAAAAGAAATTGATGGGCCCCAAATATTCAAGGCCTGATCTAGAGGATCTAGGAAGGGAGGTACATAATAGGAAGGCTATGGTGAAGTTCTTATATAACAGTTTCAGGCAGACTGAACAGGAGACACATCTTACGCTTAGGGTGAGTAGCTTTGGGCAATTCAGTTTCCGAGAGGTTTAAAAGGAGGGAAGAATCAAAGTGCAGGGTAATGGATAAATTCATGAGTGGTCTTGGCGGAAGATCACTAGCATATCATAACACATGCAGTTTAGCACCATTATCTGTTTTTCTACATATTTTTCTTGTTTTCTCTGTAAAGAAAACTCCATCATTCAGATGGTTTGCCTCTGTTTGCTAACCTAATCTTGTATGTCACCTTATTTCTCACATATATTCCAAAGTATTTGTTTGGGTTCTATTGGGTGTAAAATGAAAATACACGCTATTCTTCGATGAGATTTTAAAACTTATGAAGGTCAATCCACCTTCATTTTTCCTCATCCATATTAGTTTACGACAGGTTCCTTCATGCACAAAAACTAGTCAATACCAGTCAGCTTACACACACACAGACACGCACAAATATTACAAAATGAAAATCCCATTGCCTAGCATAGATTTGATGATACCAGATTATCACTTTTGCTTAAGTCAGACTAATATTCTCTAACAGAAACATTAGTTTCCATAAACAGTGTCACAAGAATGTAAACATCCTATTTCTCTATTCACAACGATGAATATTTAGTCTCTGTATTCAAGCGATAGAAATACTCCAAATCTGTAGCTGGGGTCTCAGTTCCAACAATATTAGTCTTAGGTCCAATCCAAATGATTCCTTACCTTATGATAGTTGATAATGCTAGAAGATAATTAAAGTAATTCGATGCAGCATACGAGAATGTTGAATTGTTACTCAGCACAAAATTTATTGATTGAGTCTGGAACAACCATTTGTATCTTTTCAAATCACAATAGTCTAATTGCAAGTTAGATTAAATGCTCCACGTGTAGGTAAAATGAACTACAAAGGACCATCACTTCTAAGATCACTCACAGCACGCATCCCATGATTCATTCAATTTTGTTGCGTTCCCGTGCTCTCCATATCACAACAGTGCTAAGCGAATAGCAAAATGGGAAGGAGATAAGGCAAAAAAAACTCATATTCAATGTAATTTTAGCTGAATCATACAAGGTACTGGAAGGACACTTAGTGTTCCGCAAAGGACAAAGCCGAATCATACAGGATATGCGACAAGACACTATCTAGCCCACAAATCCTAGCGAGTAAAGGCGTACAAAACAACAGAAACGTAAATGAGAAGCGCAGAAGGAACCAGTATGAAGAGCGGGACGACAGCAGAATAAGTGTGGGCACTGCCACAGGCCAGGGTGCCCAGCTTGATCTGAACCACATTGACCAAGGCCATCATCAAGAACCCACAACCGCAGACGGAACCGGCACCAGAGACGAGCATGCCGAGGCGGAGAACAGTTTTGTTGATGTGGGCGAAGAACTCGACGGGGTAGTGGAAACCGGGGGAGCGAGAGAGGCGGATGGCCTGCTTGAGAGCAAGGGCGACGAGGCTGGAGAAGAGAAAGGAGCTGAAGGAGTAGACATGGAAGGAAACGAGGTTCTCGGCAATAGAAGGGGAGGCGACGCAGTTGGAATTGGTAATGAGACTGTTGCTAGGGTCGTAGGGGTTCCAAGTCAAACCAAGGAAGACGGCCAAAGTGAAGAGCGAGTTAACGTTGACGATGGCGTTCAAGGCGCTGATATGGACGCTGGTAGTGGAAGAAGAAGAAGACATTTCAGTAAAGACGATGGTGGTGGAATCGATTGCCGATCGATCCCGTGTTGTGTTGTGCTTCTTCTGGGTTAGAAGGGAAGATCACAGTGCCTTTTCTCTTCTTTTCTTTTCCTGTTCTTTTTTTTTTTTTGGGTGGACAACACGTAAAAGTGTATAAGGTACGTCTTGCCCTCTAGGCTCTAGCCTCTCCTTCATTATTTTTCTTCCCTCACTTGTCCTGTCCCAGACAACACGCGCTATCTCCTTGTTGAATGAGTTAACGTCTGAACCAAGATCAGCTATTCAATTGACGTTGGCCCGAAGAGATGAAACTAATGGAAAGACACCGCCATGATCAATATCAACTGAGTGCGGTCTACAACGGTTTATAATTAGTTTATAAATAATTTTTTAATAGTAATTTACAGAATACGAAATAAATATGTGAGAAAAATTTTATCTCAACTTACATGAAACATATTTATAGGAAATTTTCACTATCATCCCAAACAGGTACTGAAATGACTGTACAGATGTTATTAACGGGAAAAATTAATTAGTAAATCCTTATATTTTTAGCATTTTTTTAATTCATAATTTTATTATTTTTATTGAATCTCCGCAGTTTAGTCAATTCTAATTATTAATTCATTTTACTTATAAAGTATTAATTAAAACTCTTGTGTATATGAATTAAGTGACGCGTACTTGTTATAAAATACAAAAAAAGAATATATTTAAAAAATAATAATACCATAAAATTTATTTGTTGTTAGCATGAAAATTAAAAACAAAAATACGTCGGCAACCATTTTCTTTTCATCTATAAATAGTCTATAATATAATATAATTAGTTTTGACAGCAAACTTAATTTAAGTATGGATAGAGCAAGAGTTTCATCATTAAAAACTTCTTAGGCTCTACTTGGATTAACATTTAAAATCATTTTTGTATAGATTGGGATAAAATTTATCTCATATCTTTATTTCATATTTCACAATTTATAATTAAAAAATTATTTATAAGTGTTAATTAATTATTACCTCATGGACCTGGCTTCTCACCATTGCCAGGTCCTATCGGCTACCCTCCTCTAAACAAAATAGTAATACTGCTATTTTGGGTGCAAAATGAGGGGTGTTATAAGCCTAATTGCTTTTTTTTTTAATTTGAAGTATTTTTTATTAGCATCTAATATCTTAAAATAATTTTTTGCTACACCCAGCATTATAACATATTTTTTTGTAACACCCAATATCATAAAATAGTTTTTATATTAAAAGTGTTTTTGAGCAGCACATAGTATCCTAGATTTAGGGTGCTTGTTGCCACTAAGAAATATATTTAGGATACTAGATGTTACTGAAAAAAAATATTTTAAGTTGTTAAATTTATCAAAAAATATTATAGAATGCTAAGTGCTACTAAAAAAATATTTTAAGAATTTTAAATTAAAAAGCAATCAGCCCCTCGTTTTGCAGCCAAAATGGCAGTGTTTCGGGTAGAAGAGAGTAGCAGATGGGACCTGGCGGGCAGCGGAGAGAAGCCAGGTCCCCACCTCATACCTGTTTTCGGAGGAGGCTGTGGTTCTACTTTCTAACTTCTACCCGTATAAACCAAAGCGAGTAGGTGCTGCGACGTGTGAATCCCTCTCTCATAGGGGAGGGGATTTTAAATTGGACTACAAGAAAAAGAAAATAAGGGTTTCATCATTTTTCAAAAAAAAGAAGAAGAAGAAGTAAAAAGGGGGGAAAATTACAGGGTCTAATTAAAAATCATATGAATTTATGAAAACCTGCTATTTAATTTTCTCATATTAAGGCTTATTTGGATTAGCGTTGGGAAGAGTGATTTTTATTTTCATCAACTTTTAAAAATTAAAGTTAGAATAAAAGCCAATTATTACAATATAATTTATTTTTAGATCATTTTTGTTAAAAATTAATTTAGCATAAATTTATTTGAATAATATATTAAAAGGTGTTTTCAACCTAAAGAAAAGTTCGAAAAAAACAACAACTTTTAAATTACTTTTGCCCAAAAATCTTTTGGGCAAAAGCTATCCCAAATATGTGTCAAGAGTTTCAAGTTTCAACTGATTTTTTCCCCTTTTACAACACATGCTCAGTTCTCACACAACACTGATCCAAACGCATTCTTAATAAATGCACCAAATGGAAAATGGGTAGTTTATTAGTTCATAACTTTGTTTGCATTATATATAAAACTGTATATCATGCTATTAACAACTGATAAATGGTGATTTGTAAGAAGAGATACCATGACGCATGAGCCATACTAAAAATATGCTTTTTCTCTGTATAATTTATCATGTTTTTGTGTGATTTTATTTTTTATTCATTTAATACATTTTTGTAATAAAAATATTATAATGATTATCATGCCAGGGCATCATATGAAAAATCAAGCATAATATATGAAAAAAGTCAATATAGGAAATAAAAATCATGAATATAACTTATTTTTCAAGTTCTTCTGTAATATACAAAAATGTGATACAATTTTTTTTTACCAGAGTGATATAACTTATTGTGTATAGTTTATGCATTTATATAGATTAATATGGATTAAAATTTATAAAAACTTTTATTGTAGGAGTGGTTCCCACGTAAATTTCGTATAGCAACGTAATGGTCTGCCCAATGTGCACCTCAATGGGGTCGAGAAATGCATTTTAAGTAAAATAAATTTTATATATTGAAACAATAATTAATTGAATTACCATTTGTTAAATTATTAAAAAAATTTATTTAACACAAAAAGCATTTTGATTATTTTAAAAAAAATGACAGTGGAATTTAAGATCTAAATTTTGAAAGAGTGAAACAAAGAGAAATGTGATTTTTCTAATTTTTTTTAATTTTCTTATCAAACATAATCGGATCGATTTTATTCGTATGTTGCTTCTTGCATTTTTGTGAGGTAAGTCTTTTGGAAAAAGAAAAAAAAATCCTTCTTTCCCACGCTGTCATTCTACAGGACACACACACACACACCAAGTAATCAAAGCTGTGTTTTATAAAAAAGATCTGCAAACCCGTTGTCCTAGCGTAATAGGATGAGAGGGAGTATTGCTTATATCCTCAAATTACAATATGACCCCGTCGTTGAAACCAAACTCTGCGTCCGCGTCCCTGTGTGCGTGTTAATTTCTGAGTAAATCGCGTGCCTTAACGGGAAAAAGGGCTGAATGTACTGACGCAAGTTGCGTGAGTAGGACGCCACCGAAAGCGAGATGCATCACGTGAGGGCACTTCATTTCCCCGCAGTAAATGACAAACTGTATTTCTTTTTTATTTTATGGCAATTTAATTTTGAAATTTAAAAAAGGAAAAGAAAGAAACGCCGTTGCCGGGGATCGAACCCGGGTCGCCCGCGTGACAGGCGGGAATACTCACCACTATACTACAACGACTTGTAGATCGGCTCCGATGCATTGCATTAAGCGTAACGACGTAAGCGTTGATCCCACTAAGACGGCAGAATTATTCTGGGTTCACGTGCTGGACAAAGGGGCCGCTCCCTACTAACCCTAGCAGGTAGCCGTTGAGGGGGCAGGTACAAGCACAGTTTCTTTTCTGCGGAAACGAAGGAGTAGGCTCTTTTTTCAGCCTACCTTTATATCCCTATGCAGCGTCACTCGTTGAAACTCCGTGGAATAAATCCGCAACTTTTTTTCCTACACGACTGGTTGAGAGTTAGTGAGATGTGGTCAGATTGCATGGATTCTAAATTTTAGTTATTATATTTTCAATTTAGCTTTCTCAAATAAAAAATCTATAATTATGTAATGTTATCAACCTTAAAAAATGACTATTTTTCTAAGATAATCTTATAAACCTTTAATAAAATACGGGAATGGACTGTAAAAATTAAATTCCACATAAATCAACAACGGCAAAAATAAATTGAAATAAATGAGATTTTACTGAAGCTGGAGGAAGGGAGGAAGCAAATGTTTTCTAGTTATAATACTTAGTCTTGTCCCCATACATCGGTGGGCATTTGGTCTAGTGGTATGATTCTCGCTTAGGGTGCGAGAGGTCCCGAGTTCAATTCTCGGAATGCCCCAATACGATTTCCCCTTTTTGCGTATAAATGAAACAACAGATTTCCGGTTCCTCCGTTGATAAGAGCGTTGTGAGAAAACGCGCACGAAATCCAGATTTTAGTTTTCACTTTTTCCGAGAATTCACGATAAAGAGATCACCCCAATTAATATCCAATAAAGAAATCACCATAATTCACAGATATAATTTACAATCTCATTTAAAATTCAATGTCAATTCTCAGCTAACTTTAAATACAATAACATGTATACCAACTGCTTTCGGGCTGAACTGCTTCATAACTCAGTGAGAGACCGTAATCCCCCTTAATAACAATAACTCCCAACCTCTAACCACCAATAAATATCAGTAAATAATACAAAGACGAAAAAAAAGAATCCATAATTAAAGGTTACAGACACACGGTTGTCCTTTGATTAACATACATGACATATCGGACACTGCTCATTTTTTTAGAGCACATGATGATTCCTTTTGCCGTTCCGGTTGGTCTGTTTCTGTTCTATTCGCATTACTTGAGTTCAAACAATGCACTTCACTTGAATTGCTGCATATTTTGGCTTTCGTCTCTACTCCAAGATAATTTGACAATACCCTTTTCACCCCAAAACCACGACGGTGAGGTTTGATGATGTTGTTGTTGTTATGGATGAAAGGAGTTCTCTCTCCTCTTGCAGGACTAATGAGCGGTGGTGCAGGTGAAAAGCTACTGGTGCCACTAACAGATTTGTGAGGAGTGCCTGAGACAGACACCGAGATTGGACGACTAACCGTCGAAGAAACCAACGGAAACCTGTCTGAATGCTTCGTCAAGTCGTCCACATACAGCAAATCATCAATACGAGCAAGAATGTTGAACGCCATGCTCTCCAATACCCTTGAGTAGCTCTCCAGAATGGACTTACCCACGTCCTGAAATTGTGTAAAACGAGTAAAAACCATTGCTTTAAGAGAAATTTGGCAATTTGAAACATGCATCTTACATAATAAAATAACAATAATAATGGGACCTTGTTGCATTGGATCTTGCTGGTGTCGAGAGTGGTTTGAGTTAAACCAGGGAACCTCTGTTTCAAGCAAATCAGAAAGTTTTCAGCTCTTTCTGCTAGCAATTCTCTCTTGTCTCCATCTGCCATGAAATCTCTCACCATTTCCCAGGATGATTTTGTTGTTGAACGGCTAGGATTAGGTGCGGGTCTCGAATGAGCCCTTCTACGCCATACATAAATTGAGGCTTCCACTCTGTTAGCAATCTCCAGAGCCACGTGTTCATTGGAAAGATCTAGGCAATCAAGCAGACACTCAGAAGAGAACTGGTCTGATGTTATATAGCGGTATATGAAATCCCCCAGGCAGCTTCTTCCATTCTGAAAACAACACAAAACAAAGTGAAGCCGCTTTCAAGTTGTAATCCTATGATAAAATCAAAATTAAATATCGGAATTGACGAAATTCAGACCTTGGGAAGGGCTTCTAAGTATGAATCAGGAACTTCCATTTCAGCTAAAGCGTTGTCGTTGATGGCCATGGCTGCTTTCAGAATTTGGTTTGCACATTCTCGTGTGTGGTTCAATTGCTTTCTTGAGTTCTCAGTCAGACCTGCAGGAGAGACGCGAGGCACAGGAAGCCACCATTTCTCCTCTTGTCTCTGCATTGGCTTGCGAAACGAGGCTGACCCATCTGCATCTGGGGCCACGATTCCTTGATCAACATACCAAAACTCCGTACTTGTGAAACTGTCTAATATTTCCTGTAATCGAGACAAATACTTATCAGCATACTCAAATCATAATTGTTTCCGAGTTAAAGGCTAATGCTAAGATATCATGAAGTCAGTAGATTCAATATTTACCATTAGCATGTTATCGAGTTTGCGAAGAGCTGGGAGATTAATGAAAAGATCTGACCTCGGCCTGCAAGTCATTACCTGCAGGATTCGCAGCATAAGGAACCTCATTATTTCCCTTGTTTGGAATTTGGCTTAACTTTTCTGGGTACTGATTAAAACTAAGTCCAATTTTACCTCAAGCTTGCTTCCATCGGGAAATGTTTGCCAAGAAGGGATTAATTCAACAATGTGATCTCCAACGCAAAGGAGCCACTCCATCTCTCTTCGCCACATTGCTTTCTTTTCATCAGGAAGAGGTTCTAGTCTCCATAATTGTCCAAATACGGTGGCTAAATGTTGCATAAATTCCAAACTCAATAAATTCATACTTTCAAATATTTAAACGAAAGGAAAAATTTTAAACTAGTACTCAATAATCATACCACAGAGATTAGTAATGGCATTTGAGATGGCCAGAGCTGTGCAAACCCCTTTTCCAGACCCTGACATATCTTCACCAAGCAGTAATTTTGCAAACCTTTCCTTCATCATATCAACCTCTGTTTCAACCGAATTTTTTACCAGGAAACAGCACTAATTAGACCTCCAATAGGCGCGCATAGTAAAACATTTTCAAATTGTTGTCCGATCAAGAACACTGTATGAAACTAGGAAAGTACTAACCTGACATTTTTGAACCGATTCTGCTAAATTTTGAGCTGTCCTCGTGGGACATAGGTTGGTTTTCCTTGTCATCAGATTTACTGCACTTGGAAATTGTAGCCTTGCGAATGGGCCAGCCAAGAGGAGCAGGCGAAGACGACCCTTTTGCTTTAGCTTCTTCAGCTGAATCGAAGGAGCTCGATGCACTCGAACTCGTCTCTCTCGACTCAGCACTCGAATCGGTGAACGACTCAGATTTAGCCGTTTTGCCCCCAGTGGACCGAACCCCATCTTTCTTCTTTTGAGAATGCTCAGTCTTGTTAGATAAAGCTTCCATTTTGAGGAACTTTTGGAAGTTCTCACAACGAAAAAGGCAACCAGGTAGTGACTCACTCGGACGATTCGCAAGGTCTCAACTTATTTCCACCCATAACAGGGAACAGACTTAAGAAATACAAGAGACTGTGAGGTGAGTTTCTTCTTTATTGTGTTCAGAACTCAAAAGGCGAGGGGGTGAAGAATATGTGGCCTTTTCAAATTCTGATTCTGCTCTCTCTCTCTCTCTCTCTCTCTCTCTCTCTCTCTCTCTCTCTCTCACTCACTCACTCACTCACGAATTGGTTTTGAAGGAGGAAACGGGAAGGATAACTGCCAATCGCCACATGCCACACCAACGGCTCTCTGGCTTTCGCTCTCAGCTTGGCTCAAATTTGAGAGTAGAGAGAGAGAGAGAATACGTTCAAAATTATTAGATAAGAAAATTTAAAAGAGGTAGCTGTATTTGTTTGCATACGGAGCTAACAGCTGACGCGGGATTTAAATTACTTTATTGACCTTTACTTTGGTTAATTACCATTTATTTGTTTAATGAATACGGTATGGAGGTACTTATTCATAATAGTGGATTTGTTTGGAATAATTTATAAGTAGCTTTTTAATCATGATTTACGAAATTATATATGAAAAATTTTATCTCAATTTACATAAAACGCACTTATAAATAATTTTAATCGTGATGACAAATAGAACCAGTATTGATTTTGAATGCTAATTAGGCTATGTCATGGTAATATTATTCTATTGCGTATATAAGATGTAGATTTAAGGAGACTTTGCATGCATGAATACTTCATTAGTCCCATCATATCGATCCCATTTTATGTTCTTTCAGCAACGAGGACAGACAATTTATATTTTATTATATTATTTATAAGTTGTGTTCTTTTATCTTAAAAACATAAAATAGTTCTCTGTCGTAAAATTTATTACTCAAAGATACCTAAAATTTATTAGAAGACACAGGGTGCCATCTATTTTCAATTATTACAACTTTTCTTTATTTGTACGTAACATATCTTTAATTATATGCAAAATAAAAAAATTTACATATTATTAAAGATATGTTGTGTGCAATTGAAGAAGAATTAATCTGTATAAGATGGATTATTGCTCCCAATCAAGTACCAGGTTCATGTAACATAACTTTGGGCAAAAAATTTTGTAAAGGGGGATTTTTCAATAATTTTCCTATAAAACTTACATTCAGTTACATGGTTATAGTACATGTCATCTTTCATTATTTAAGTAAAAAAAATTCTTAAAAAAATAGACAGAGGAGAAATTAGGCTCCCATCAGCTATGACAAAGGAAAAGTCCATGTTTTGTAAATAAGTACAGTATTTTCAAAATGAATAATAATTCAGATCCATTAAAGATATTTTTCGCCCGAAAACAGTAATATAATTAAGGATAATTGAGTACTTGTCTTGTTTTTTTACTGAAGCCAAAAAAAGCATTCTAACTAGACTGGCCAGTCGTTTGTCAGGTTGTATGAGGTGTGAAAGTTCTTCAATTTGTCTTCCGTGGGATTTTTCAGACAAGGAAACTGACTGCTAACATTAATGCTTCAGCAAGCAAGATGGACACATGCATGTTTGAAAGAAAGAAAGAAAGAAAGAAACAAGAGATCAGAGACGATCAAAATTCAGCAATAAATGGCACAGTTGAATATACCCAATTTTGATTCAATTCAAAGTTTTAGTATCTTCCTTTGTTTTCTCCTTTTTGATTAAACAACGAAAACAAAAACAAGAAGAAGATACTCGAGGATGCATATACACACACACACATGCAAACACCTTGAAGCACCATCTCTACCAGAACCAACTTGTTTTACTCTATTTTTGTGCAGTATTACCTCATCTCTTTGAGAGCTAATTGACTAATTAAAGTGGCTAAAAAAATAGTTCAGTTAGTTATTTGTAATAAATAAATACTACCTCCAGTCCTAATTATAAGATCTAGTTGACTAATTTGGAGAGATTAAGAAACTTAGTTAAGTTAGTTATTTGTAATAATAGGTGTTGTTTTTCCTAAAATATCTTTGCTAATCAAGTTTGTTATCTATAACTACTGTTATTAGAAGTATTATCATGAAAAAAAGTAGATAAATATGAGAGACAAAGTAGATTGGGGTCTTATATTTAGGACCAAAATAAAAGTCAAATAAGGTCTTATAATAAGAACCAGAGGTAGTATTATCTTTTCTAAAATATCATTATTGATCAAATGTATTGATTAGAACTAATATTATTATAAGGACTATATTAAAAAAAAAGATAAATATCAGAAATAAAATAGATTGGGATTTTACATTTATGACCAAAATAAAAATCAAACGAGCTCTTATATTAAAGACTGGAGGTGGTATTTTGTTACAAGTAATCCAAAAAAAAGAACACAGAAGTCTTTAGCATACATGTATTTTCGATGCAAAATTAGCATATACTCTTTTTTTCTAACCTATAAATATTTTCAGAGGCTGATCGGCTGCATTAAAGAAGGTTCTATTCTTGAGAGCGGTGTTCATGAATTTTCAGTTGGGGCGTTCAATCAAAGATGTGTGTTTCAAACGATTTTAATTAGACGAAGTAAAGTTTCTTAATTCTATTTTACCGAAAAAGAATAAATAAAAGTAAATAGGTCGATGGCGTCTGAAACTCCATTTCATCTTATTTTGCTTGATATCCCAAATTTTATTCAATGTTGCTGACCTTATTGAGCTAATATGTCAGCACTTACCACCCTCCTGTCAACTAATTTTATATTTAATTTGGTTTTAAATATAAAATCACAATTTATTTTGTTTTTTATATTTATTTTTTTTCCTAAGGCAGCTATTATAGTAATTGCACATATTAAGAATTTCATCAAATGAGAATTCTAATTAATACACATGATTAATAAGAGTATTTTATAAAAAAAAACAATACTTATTTATCATAAATAATTAACTTAAAGAATTTTTTTTAATATACTCATATTAGTTAATTGGTTCTTATATTCCTCCAGTCATAGATATAAGACATATTTAGGATTGAAAAGAGTATTAAAGACTGAAAATAATATAATGTATTACGAAGATTAGCAGCGCACTACAAATAAAATGTTGTATTAGCGAAGTACTATTGATGCCTGCTACCGAATGTATTATATACTAAGCCGAGTCATGTGTCTTGATGCTGTTGTCAAGTGACAAGTACTATGCAACGGCCCACTAAATCTAATGGCTTTGTGAAAAAAATAACAATAATAAACTAAATCCCCTGTCTACCTCTGTATACTAAATATTACACTCCTTCTAAATACTGGCTCCAGCCTCCGGTATGAGAGTTGTATAGCTAATTTAAGAAAATTTAAAAAATTAATTAAATTAATTATTTTAAAAAATTAGTTATTTGTAACAAATGTGTGTTGACTTCCTTAAATTATTATTCTTCAATTGTGTGTATTAAAATTTCACTTGGATGAAATACCTTACAATCAATAAGAATATTTTTAAGAATATGTCACAAAGTAAATTTGAGTCAAAATTCAACTAGTTTTTATATTTGAGACAAGAGGTAGGTAAGTAGAAGAAGAACACGAGTGCGGTGATCTCACATGCATGTCAGGGGCAAGGTAAAAAGGGTGATGCTGGCGGTGAGCTTTAGTTCAAATTTGTGAGGAAAGGGAAGGGACAACGGCTATGTAGGAAGAGTGAAAATACAAGTCTCATTTTTTATCCGTTTGGGAAAAGCAGAGCAGAAGAAGCAACGTTAACCTTCACAAACACTTGAGTGGTCCCTCTATTTGCAATCTCCTTTTTGTACGCTTTCCAAATATTTTTCCGCCCTTCCCCTTTTGGCCATATCAGTCATTATAACACTCACTTGTCTCTTTAAATTTAAAGTCTCAGGAAAAGGAATATGAAATGTCGTTAGCTAGGAACAGAGATGTTTAGCAAACCAAACATATCTGGTAAGCATTCCACCTTCCTTTTATTCCACACCAACTCCTTCTTCCCATGTGTAACGGAAACAACTTTGAGTTTGCACTTTCTTTGTACATTTTAGCCTCTTTTTAATTTATTATTTTGTGGGTTGTCTGAATGAATGAAGGAGCAGCGAATGAATTAAAGTCGAGATTTTAAATTTGAAGATGGAAGGAAGAAGGATGAGTGTGTTTTTCAAACCCATATTTGTTTAATGCTTCACGTGAAGTTTCCTATAACCGCCCACTTTTGACTTCTCCACCTTCTGACGCCAAAGTCCCGTTTTCCTATTTAATAATACCTACTTTTATTTTTATTTTTATCATTTTGGGATCAATGGAAGCAGGACGGACCAAGCTTGGAAGTTTTTCTGGAGGTGCTTGTCCATTTACAGGGCCTGTCTGGGATAGTAATAAAAAATTATTTATAAATATGTTTTATGTAACTTAAGATGAAATTCTCTTCCATATTTATCTCATATTCCGTAAATCATAATTAAAAAGTTATTTATAAACTGTTTCAAATATATCTATAGTCAACGGTAACAATCATTAATGAAAATCCTTCAAAATTTCTTGAAAACTCAATAAATAGCCTATTTTAAAACCTTCAATCACCCAACATTGGTCCTCCTGCCCAGATTGTACATTCATTTAGTCCTTTCTTTCAATTTTTCTTCTTTTTTGTTGCTTGGTCTCATCATGAAATTGTATTATTCCTTGTGAATTAAAAAAGATTTCAGAATTTATTAAAAACATAATCCCTCCCGTTCAAACAGTGTGTCTAGTTCACTGGAATGACGGTAAATTATTACTACCTCCGTTCTTAATATAGATCCTACTTGACTTTTATTTTAATCCTAAATATAATACTCCAATCACTTTGTCTCTCGTATTTATATATATATTTTTCAAAGTAGCCCTTCTAATAATAATAGTTTTAGTCAATACACTTGATTAACAAGGATATTTTAGGAAAGAAAACACTTATTTACGACAAATAATTAACTCAACTTATTTCTTTAATCTCTTCAAATTAGTCAACTGACTCTTATAATTAGAACCGAAAGTGGTATAATATTGCATGCTTGTTCAGTTCTCACAGGCTGTCCCCTGCTGTCAGCTTTTATCTCACTAGCCTCAGCTGAAGATCATCCCTTCCGTGACGAAATATAATTGAAGAATCTGGGAGGCCTTTGCTCCAATGTTGGGTCATTACCTGCATGTAACTTTGCTTTTTATGTTAGGTTTGGCGTATGGAAAGATCCTTTTGGAAAGGGAATAT